GTATTTTATGGCTGGGTTTCTACTTACCGTCACCATTGCAATCACAACCAAAATTTTCATGAGCGATTTGCTGTCGAAGAGGAATGGGGGTTGGGAGCCTCTCGTGGTCCTCCAAGAGGCCTTTCTCAATTTTCAGATATTTCCAAACTTCCCAAAGGGGAACAGGCGAAAGAGAGACCATGGTTAGCTCACCTTCCAGCACAATTATTGCCACGAACTCTCCTTTTCTCCCCATCCCCAGCTAGCAAAGAAGCAGAGGAAATCGCAACGTGAAAGAAAAGAAAATCTTTCATAAAGGAAACAAGGACCACCAACCCTAATTCCTGTTTGGTCGTTTCGGTGGGGTTGGGGGGGGGGGGGGGGGGGGTTCAGGTGTTGGGGAACAGGGATGCCATGAAGGGATCCCATCTCGCGCCAAAGAAGGCTAATATAATTCCATATTATACATGGAAATTTATGGAAATGCCCTGGAAACAAGTCAAATGGATGAGCTGATGCATGAAAACGAGACTCGATCCACTGCCACCTAATTTATGAATCCACTCTAACGCAGATCATTGGACTGCACTTAATATTATATAAGTGATACTCGTGTCCGAGAGCGGATTTAACTCCAGTCAACTGGTTTTATGAACCGGTGGACCCCCCTACCCCCCTCCCCCGCCCCACCATCCCTGCTCCCCCAGTATGACGAAGTGCGGTGTCCTAGGGGCCCGCGGGTCAGGTCCATCTCATTGCATTCAAGTAATTTAACCCACATCATCCCCTTTTCCCCCGCAGGTTGAGCTCTTACCGCCTTCTGGATCCATCCCTTTTAAATATTCAGACTCCACTTTAGACAACTCGCTGTTGTAAGAAGGTGAAATTAAGAGCCGAATTTCCTCCGCAAAATTCCTGAACTTTTATTTGGGCGTTCACAAGGTGTGAGTCCCCCTTTGAACCATCATTTCCGACCGTGCTCGTGTCCTCTTATTTCGCAGCCACTATTGGAGAAAGTACATAAATCTGCGAAAACAATGAGAGGCAAAAATGTCAGCAGAAAAGTCTGAGAGATCAACGCTTCACGAAGAGAAACAATTGCTGGAACATTAAGTCAATTGACAATTTTCGCTCAGCAGCAAAAAAGAGGAAGATCGTTTGCACTTCTTCATCTCGACCATTTCCCTCGATCCACGTTTTTCTCATAAATGCTCTTCCACCGTGGAAGCACGTTTCCGTGAAAATTGGGTTAACCGTTAAAAACCACAGCCGGATGTGGTCGAACTGACCGACGCCATTTTGGAAAATGAATATGAGCTGGGTCTGCGCATATTGGGATTTTTTTTCTTTTTTACAAATAAATCGGTCTCGGTGGAACTCCGTTGAAGTCTGCAAAATCGGTTACTCAATGTTCGACAATATTCGTTGAGAAAATATGTGGATTAACGCATGGTATGATGAACTCGATGTGATGCCTGCACCTGTACGGAAATTTTTCTCGATAACATCGAATGAAACTCATTTCATCTTCTTTACCAGCGTAAAAAGACATTTGTTCGCCTCTCAATGACGCTTGTTCCGTCATAATACCGAAGTTACGTATTCAATTGGAAACCTGTCCATGATAACTCCGGACTTTAAAGTGAGATTTAAACACATGAGGCCTGAAGATCGCTCTCATCGTGCCAATTCTTTCATTAATTTTTCCTTCAGAAAAACCTGGAAGACTCCCTAAAGACACACAGAACTCAATCGAAAAAGGCAACTATTAATTAAAAGTGAGAAATTTTCAAGTCCGCCGTCTGACAGTGGAGGCTTTCAAGCGAGATGGACCAAGCTGGGCCAACGCATCGAGGACGGGCCAAGCTGGGCAAACACATCCCGGAAGCTGCTCCAAGTACTTCTTTCTTCGGTCTCGCTTCATTTCTCGTCCGAGGTCGTCTTGCATAGGAGAATTTTAAAAATACATTTCATAGCTCGCCTGCCGAAGTCGTTTCCAAGTCTACTGAGCAAACCGTGATTGGATGAAAGGGGTAACCTTCATAAGTGCAACATCACGCTTTGCGTCTCTTTGCGCCGTTCCTCATCGCGTTCTGATCCAGCGAGGACTTCCACCAGCATCTCCTGGAATGAACCGAAGTGTATGAATATGCATTGTAGAGTAATAAAATAGCTGAGAGATGCAATGTTCTTTGGGTCCAGACTGCGACGGCATCTCCTTTCAATTCAGAGAAATCGCATTGGAGCATACACGGCTTCGTACAATCTCCCGGAAAGATGGTGAATATATTTTGAATCAGACTTGAAAATTGCTTCGACTTATACATTTTTAATTTTGGACGGATATTTTTAATAATTCTTGGATTTATTTCATATTTTCAATGACATAAGATACATTCGGTACTGTTTTATTTACTCTAATGTGCTCTACTTCTCGAGCATCGAAATGGAGCAGTCCCAAGTGAACAAGACGAAGGCGATGATGCAGCAGAATGTGAAGATGACCCAGGAAAGCTAGCGGAGCGGCTGAACCACATGGACCAGCGTCGCCACGCTCCAATCCTCCAATTTCACGTGTTTCACAGAGTTTGACGTAAAACAAAAGGTAGAAGGTCAAAAAGTCTGACTTTTGACCTTGAAAATCGCAAAGAAAGGTTAGTTTAATTTGTTTTTCAAAAATAGAACCTTATACGGTTGACTCTCGTTTTACGCGGGGGTTGCGTTCCTGAAAGTATATCGAGAATTCCCAGATGTGGAAAATTCAAGCTAAACTCCAGTCATGCACTTGCCCTCCGAGACGCTAGTTTTAATTTGTCACACAACGCGAAATCATGGCTACGGGGCCGAGGAAGAGTAGGACAAGGTCAAGTATGCGATGTCCTTTGGGAAACTTGCCTTGGATATGCTTTCTGGGATTCCGTTGTCCTCATGTATCTTCTCTGCTGGAACTCGGTTGGCCCAGTCCACCTGTCGGGTTTCTCTGCCCGTGATTTGCTTTGTGCCATTGAGTGAATGCAAACATGATCAATTCCTGTCCCGATTGCTCAGTGGAGTTTTCGGGGTTGTGTCGTTTGGAGGCATTAACTAAGGGCAGGCTAGAAATCCACAGCACTTCGGTACCGAAGCAAGTATTATTAGGAGTTTCGCGTGGCCATGTTGGTGATGAAAAACGTCTCATCAGAGCCTTAAAAAAAACTGTCATTTTATCAAGTTCAAATGCGACGATGGATTGAATTCCTTTGCGTGGTCTCAATGGAATTCTAGGGTTCCGAGCAGCGATACCGACATGACAAACTTCTGGCGTCAGTACTTTTGAAAATTTCCTCGGACGCTCTCCATGCACATAACTTTCTTCTAAGTGTGAGAAGTTTGTTTTCACGCTCCAATTTCAAGGAATCTCCAAGGAAACGTTGCGCACTCGGTCATCTGAGGTTCCACAAATTATGTCAAACTTATTGACTCTCGAAGATCGTGTCAAGCGTCAACAGACAGAAATCCTACAAAGCTGAAAGGAAGAAGCGCAGGGGATGGATGAAAGGGAAGGGAAGCACGTGGAGGGAGGTATCAGGGCGATCATGCTGACATCTGGCGAGCAGCTCGAGCCCTAGCGAGACTGCGCAGCGGAGTCGGCAAACGACGTCAATCGTCCGTAGATGGAAATCTATGGCCCTTGGATTGATGCGAAGAAGACGCTGCTCCTGTTGTCCCTAGGGGGCACCGAACCTGCCAGTCGCGTTCCTCGAATCTGAGTCATGCGATGAGGGACGAATATGCCCCGTTTCTTCGTTTTGGAGCTTCCTGATTCCAAGAAGAACCGTGACGCGATGACTCACAGGGTTTTCCCCGTCACAAATCTTTCAGTTTCCCCAGCTAAGGGAGAGGCATGAATCTCGAACTTTCGAAGTTTCCTATTTATCCATTAACACAAAAGTGGGAGCCAGCATGAAATTGTAAGGGGAAGAACTACAAAACCAGGGCCACTGCCGTGGGGCGGAAAGAAGTCCCCCAACCCCCTTCAACTTGAGTGGTATTAAGAAAAAAAGGTTGGGCGCTGAAATGGGAGAAACGGGGGCAGTCACGCCCGTTCATGTCCCTGTAATCATGGCTGCTGCAATCAGCCTTCGCTGCAATGACCTTCAATGGCATGACTGCTTATGGCGTCTAGACGAATTCCTCATTGGAGTTGACTTTAATCGCACGCTGTCAATAAGCTTAATTTCATTTGCGGATGAAGATCATTACAACGGATACATAGGTGTGATTGATCGTGTATGTCTTCGGTAGGGCCACGGCGGCGTATTTTACGGGTGGGGCAGCAGCCCCCTTGGAGGCAATAATTTCCCCACCTGATATCGCTCGGGTGGGGTTTAGCGTCCCGCTCCGTTGCCCTGCCCTCCCTCCTGACCCTTTAGCCTTCAATATGCCACTGGCCCAACATATCTCACTCTAGAGCCATTTAATCGAGATATTGCGTTGAATGATAAGAAAATTTTTGTTGACATCTGAGCTCCACACATATTTCTGCCAGATGACTCAAATGCAAGTGTTGGCGGAATCTGAAGGATGCAATTTCTTTTTTTCAGATAAATTTTCCGACAAAATGCCAAAAGATTTTGGGCATTTTACCAACTCTTCTCAAGCACGCGTGCAGCAGCAAGCCGAGTACGAAACAAAATCAACTTAAAAAAGAAACTGCGAACAGACCTGGGATATTCCCCATCACAAGGTATTAATGAGCGTTCTACCGTGCAGTTATTTCGTACACTGAGCCCCTATAACGGACCGAGCATCTTCGACTATCCCCATGCTCCCGGCTTCGCTCACCCATCAGCTGTATCTCACGACATATAGATCCCTACAAATCGCATAAATCACCTGAAGTACACAAGAAAAAATTATTTAAATGGTTTTTCGAGAATTATAAAAGGTTTTCTTTGCTGGAAAATATGTTGTGCTGAGGAAATTGAAGAAAGTTGCAAAAAAGGCGAAGAGGCGTGAGAGCCAAGCGGATGAATACCGACCGACGTCACTTCCTCTCTCCTTTCCAGTCTTGACTCCAAGCTGAGATATGTCATTTCCTGATGAGCGGTGAGTTTCTCCTACTTTAACCCATTTCATTGCTCAATTTCAGCCAAAACAGTGTTTAATTCATTTGCACAATGTCGTAGATTATAAGGGGACTATTGTAAGGTGTAGATTATGCTTCCTTAAGAAGTGAGATTGCGAGAAAGTTGGACACGTTGCGTGCGGACTGGATGGCATCTGCCGGATTCACATCCTGGAGGAATATTAAAACTGCTCTCAGGTCTTTAATGTTAATTGCATTCAATGATGTCCTGCCCAAATGGAAAAGGTGCGTTCGAGCGTTGAATAGGGATATGCGGAAAGTTCCGGGAGGATGCCGATGGGTCTAACGTTAGGGTAATTGAACAACGTGTTTAGGCCAATGTCAAGACAGGCCCATTGCCTGGATTCTTGTCTTTGCAATCCTCGGCTGCTTGAGCTCTGGTTATGTTTAGAGAACGCAAGCCTTGTACTAGAAAAAATGTTTTACCGAGTTTTTTTGACACGTTCTTTCCACAGTCGTGAGAGAGGTCCAGAAAGGAATGGACCCGACTATGATGGACCAGCGGGTATGGATCCCGAGGGTGTCATCGAGTCGAATTGGGACGAGGTGAGTACCATAATTTTAGTTGAAGCTAGAAATGCTGTTCACAACACCTGCTAGACCTTTTGAGATGGGCCTAGATGAATTTTGAGTACATGTCCATTCTTACTACAGCATGCCAGTGTTAGGTTGAGTTCATACTCTTTCTGTACAGTATGTTGGATGTTTAAACTGCGAACTATGGTCAAAAAGTCAATGTCAACATCCATTGGATTTTTGAGCAAAGTATTCAGTTGTAGCATCCAGCAGGCTATTGTTAAGTGCATACCCCTTAGAGATATTGTGTTGCTCCTGAAGTCAGGCCAGGGGGGGTTGGTGTTTATTATATATAATAAGGAATCCCAATAGATGTAGCATGTTTCCAGTTGAATTCATTTGGAAACATTGGAGGCTGAGGGAGTGCAATTTTGCTAGAGGGTATGCATTTAACTTACCCATCCAGCATGAGTATGAACTCTGCTTTAGTTGCATACATAGGAGCAGCAGCATAACATTTGCCTGATGAAGGGGAGGATGCTATGTGCCCCCCCACTTTTTAGGAAATGAAGCAATAAAGAACAGGAGGAATAAGCTCATTAAATGTATGGTAACAGTATCCCAGAGTTTCCTGTGTGCTCCCCCCCCCAACTTTTTCCATCCATGCTACACTTATGAGGATTGGGTATATCAGCTTAATAATTCTGTTTGAATCATTTGCCTCAAGGTTGGTGTAGAAATAGGATTTAACACATGATGGAAATTATGAAAAGGAACTTTTGCTGTGAAAAATCTGATTTCAGTGGCTAGCCAAGATACAACCTTTGCACATGGGGACTGTATGCCATTCCATCCATGGCATCACACAATTTGATAAATAGACATTTCTCTTGTTCCAAAATTTGTCCCCTTAGCCTTTTACCTTGGCTTCTTTCATGAGATTTTGTTTGAGGCTTTCCAAGTCATGCTGTTATTGCCATCCAGACACCATGTCACTCCTAATTTGTTCTTGAGTATGGAAAGATCATTGGCCAAGTGTTGTATGTAAGAATCTCTTTTGTTCCAATATTGGTGATAATGTAAAAAACACAAGGATGGATATTTTCTGGTTAAAAGACAGGGATTTCTGTTATGGCCTCTAATATGAGACCAGAAATAGTTGGATCAAAATGAGCAAATGCCCTGTCACCTGTAGTTACTGAGGTAGCTGGTGCACTTAGCTTTAGTTTAATGGTGGGTATATCTAAAAGTTTGCTGATAAAAAATTATCATTATCCTGTAAGCCTTTTTCAAGTTAGGTCCAGGTATATTGTGTGTGAGTGTGTTTGGAGAATCATTGGTATATGTACCTTGAGGTCTTCTAGTGAGAAAAGATTTTATGTGACTATTAGTGGCTTATACCAACATTCAATGGATAGTCTGAGCAGGTCTGTTTAGGCCTGTTCAGTATCTGCACTCTTTCTAGCATCCTGTCAACTCTTTAATGGTTGGTGGGAGGATTCATGGGTGCAAGACCAATGTGGTCTGTTCTTCACAGGTCAATGTGGAATCTTAAATTCCCTTCCCTTTGATCGTTGGCACAGGACCACAAACTTCACTTGGTTTTGAGACATGAAAGGGGAAATGCAAAGTTTTTATCGCATGGGATTCAGGTTCCTATTCTAAAAATGGCCATTAAGTAATGTGATATGATAGTGTAGTCTCATTCTCATGTCACTGGTGATATGTTTTCCAGACAAGATTTTCTCTGAACATGAGCAGTGGCTTAATCTTAACACAAAATGGAATGTCTGAGCTTGTCTGGTGATAAGTTCCAGGTATTATATGGATAGGAAAAAATGTGCCTATTCTTGTGTCTCCACTTTCATACTGGGGAATTCTGTATGGATGCGCAGTGGTAAGTAGCCTAATTTCTGACTGGGATAGCCTGCAGGAAGAACTTTTTTTGAAATGTCACATTGTCCTATCGTGTAGTTGTTGCTGCAATATGTTTTATTTGTGCCTAGTCCCTGTGTGCAGCCTCAGCACCTTGACTGATGGGTGCAGGCAGTTCTGGCCCTATTTTATTTGTGTATGAATGTGGAGAATAAAAATCTATGTGTAGACATGGATAATGGCAATGGGTGCATTCACAATGGATCAAGTACCCATCACAGTTGAGTTTTCATAATGGGCATATCAGATGCAAAAGGCTATAAAGTATCTTGATTTTGGCATGTTACCTGACCATTGAAAAAATTCCTAAGGTTCTGTATGAACTTTCATACATTGCATTATGTCTTGGTTTCAATTTGGTCATGCCTGAACACCATTTTGCTTGAGTCACATTAAGGCTTGTTCATATATTCAGGAGAGGAATTAAATGCTGTAATTTGGTATTCTTGAGCATTGATCAGGGCTAGATTAATGATATCTTGGGTATTTGCAGGTGGTGGAGAAGTTTGATGACATGAACCTAAAGGAGGATCTCCTGCGAGGAATATATGCATATGGTTTTGAAAAGCCGTCTGCTATCCAGCAGCGAGCCATCATTCCATGCATACGTGGCCATGATGTCATTGCCCAGGCTCAGTCTGGCACAGGAAAGACGGCCACTTTTTCTATAGCCATCCTTCAACAGATTGACACTAGCCTGAGAGAATGTCAAGCCCTCATCCTAGCCCCAACTCGGGAGTTGGCTCAGCAGGTCTGAAATCCCCTTTTTTGGGTCATCTGTTTCATTATCTTAGCACTCTTCTAGCATCCTGTCAACTCCTTAATGGTTGATGAGGGGGATTCTTGGGTGCAAGACCAATGTGGTCTGTTCTTCACAGGTCAATGTGGAATCTTGAATTTACTTCCCTTTGATCGTTGGCACAAGACTACAGTTTGGTGGTTTGCATACTACAAGGGTCGTTAAAAAAAATTCTTGAAACTGGTATTTTGTTTATAGCATTCACAGTATTTCCAGAATGTTAATTCTGCCATCCTTCAAAGTACAGGGTGGCCCAAAAGGTATGAAAACATTTTTAACATGTATATCTCTCTAAATTATGCCTCTAATAAAATGATTAAAACAGTTAAAGAAGTGCAACTCAATTATTGCAATTCCACATGGGCGCTATTCGTGGCTCTGTAGACTTTCAAACATTGTTCGAACTCTTACCGCAACTTGTGCAGAGTGTTATGCGTTACTGTCTGGATAGCTGCGACAATTCTGTTCTTCAGATCTTTGACGTTGTCAACTTTTCTTGAGTAAGTAATGTTTTTGACATAACCCACAAGAAAAAAATCCTAGATGGATGGGTTCAAGTACACTAAAAGTCTAATTTTCCAATGTGTTGCACCTCCACATTTTAGCAAACTTTTGCATGACCAAAAAATTCCCAGATCTGTAGATCGGACGAAGCAGGTCCATTTCATGACAACTAAGATCACCTGAACTAACCCCACTGGACTTTTTTTTGTGAGTCAAGTCAAGGACATTACTTACTGGAGAAAAGTGAGCAATCGATCAAGATCTAAAGAACAATCATCCCAGCTATCCAGGCAGTTATGCCTGACACTCAGCATGAGGTGTTGTAAGAGCTCAAACATCTGCAGATTCACAAATGGTGCCCATGTGGAATTGCAATAACAGGTTTGCAAATGTTTGAGTTGTGCTTTATTTTAAAAATGTTTCCATACCTTTTGGGACATCCTGTATTCCCTGTGATTGCACACACTGACCCAAGTGGTACTTCTTGAAGGCATCACCATCTGCTTCTTTGGGCATCCTAAGCTCTGAATAAACAGCTTTGGACAGATCTTGGATGTGACTGAAATAACTTCCAGCCAACTGTTTAAGGAAACAGCTAGAAATCAAGGGGTTGGGTCCAAGTTATGCAAACCATAGGCCAGATCTAGCCCAATTTTTCTGTTGGATTTTCTGTTGGGCGTGGGTATCAAGAGTTGAGCCAATACCTGAAGCATAGGATGGCCCTGTATGTGGCACTACTGGCAGTACATTTATTCTGGCAAGTACAAGTGGATATGGGTGTCTGTAAGGTCTGAGTCTCTGGTGTTGGGAAGTTGGCTTAGTAGTGCCATTAATTCTTGAGTTGAAGTGGGACTTCTATCATTTACCTCATTTTTGCAGGCTATCCTTGGCATTCACTTGGAACAGGGCATCTCTAATTGCAAAAATAGTCCATTTATAAGTGCTTCTGTTGTCACCATAGATATCCTTCTGGGGGGAATTGTACAAATGGTCTGTTGAAAGACTTTTCTCAATCTTTTCTTTTGGAAAAGATACAAAAGGTGGTGATAGCACTGGGTGATTACATGAATGCCCAGTGCCATGCATGCATTGGTGGGACAGACGTACGGGAGAATGTGCGAAAGCTGGAGCTCGGAATGCATGTCATTGTTGGCACCCCTGGCCGAGTTTATGACATGATCAGTCGACGTGCCCTGCGTAAGACCCACCTGTGTGTCTGTCTTGGTAGGGAAGAGTGGAGCCATTTGACATAAATAATTTCTTTGCAGGCACAAACCACATCAAGATCTTTGTTCTGGATGAAGCTGATGAGATGTTGTCTCGTGGGTTCAAGGACCAGATCTACGATGTCTTCAAAATGTTGAACTCGAACATACAGGCAAGCACATCGCAGAATTTTTATCAGGGCTGGACTTTCTAAATGTATTATTTGCCTCCTTGACGTTTTTTTTTCTCAAAAACCATATCAGTTGCATAGCACAAATTGGATTTTAGGCAATACCAGTCAGGTTGCTAGCTCTATTTTTGGAAATATTACATTACTCATCACCAACTTGTGGGACATGGTGTAACTTAGGTCAATCATACCATAATGTAATATTTGATGAAATTAACAAATGTGTAGCATAATGATATTGAATGAGCTGGTATTCTGGTGGTCTCTCCTGACTACTACATGAGTAAAAATTCAGGAATACCCCTAGATGAGTGTTGGATATGAGAGGCATGGAGTCACATTAGGCTTGAACGTGTTCATAATTGGAATTAGTTTTGGGATCATATTGTAGATATTCCTTGGCATTGTGTATGTGTATGATGGAACTTTGCCTAGGTTAGGGGGATACCCTCCCGCTGCCAAGATACCTGGAGAACAGACTTCATTTGGTTTTAAGATTGTGGACATGGAAAGGGGAAAAAAAAGTTGTCACCATGAGATGCAGGTTCCTATTCTAAATATGACAACACTAAGTAATGTGATAGTAAAATCCCATTCTCATGTCACTCTGGTGATATGTTCTCCAGACACAATTTTCTGAAGGATCTATGATGAGTCAGATTAGCACAGACCTGTTCTGATGTTTCATGAGCAAGAGAACAAACGGCCATCTGAGACAATTCACTATATGTACCTCTGGATTCAGAATAATATGCTTTGGAGACAGTTGAAGTATAATCTGCACCTGTGTTTTCCTTCTTTCAAAAGGTGATCCTGTTGTCTGCTACAATGCCATCTGATGTGCTGGAGGTGACCAAGCGCTTCATGAGGGAGCCTGTGCGCATCCTGGTCAAGAAGGAGGAACTTACCCTTGAAGGTACATTAATGAATGTACTGTTGAATTCAGGTCCACTCCTTGAACCATTTTTCATGGGGGAGATGTTTGCATATTTTCTCTTCATTGGAGGATGCTATGTGTTTTTCACATGATAAAACATTTAGCCTTCTTGCCCTTGCTATGCTTGTGTATTGCCTGTCTTGTCCTTTTAACAAATCTCTACACATGTTCATAATATGATTAATTCATTATAGCACCAAAATTGACATAGACAACTGTGGCATCATATTGAAGTTTGACTATCAGCCTGACTGTATTTGAGAAATAATGCAAGTTATATCAGGATGTAGCTTATTGCAGATATAAAGACGTTCTTCTTATACTGATCTTTGATTTATCATTTGGTCATTTGTCTTTTTTTTCCTTTTCACCCAGGTATCAAGCAGTTCTATGTGTATGTGGAGCGTGAAGAATGGAAGCTGGATACTCTGTGTGATTTGTATGAGACATTGACCATCACACAGGCAGTGATCTTTTGCAACACCAGGCGCAAGGTGGACTGGCTGACAGAGAAGATGCATCAGCGGGACTTCACTGTCTCTGCTATGGTCAGTGTCCTTTGAGATGCACTGATACTATCAGTGTTGGCAGTTATTTGATAATATCTTTCAAGTAGTGTGCAATTGCAAATCCTGAATCCTTCTTAGATTGTGAACATGTATTGATTTTTGTGTCATTCATATGCAATGCATTCTAATGACAGGAAAATGGTTATTTCAAAATGAATACCTCTAAGAGTTTTGGAAACTATTTTGTGCTCCTAACAGCCAAAGAAGCAGTATTTCCAAGATATTTATTACTCAGTAAAGTGACCATTGTGAGTTCTGAGAATATCAGCACATTCTACTCTGGCTCTAGTATTTGCAGCTTTTATTAGATGAGAGCATTGAGGTATTGGAAAATTTGTACCACGTTGGCATCGAATGCGTCTCTTATCTGTCTGGACTTGTTTTTCATGAGTCCTCCCTTCCCTTAATAAGCACCGGGTCAGTCGATCTTGACGTGTCGTGACCCGGCCGTCGCAGGGAAGGAGAGTCAATAGCCACGTCAATTGGGTGAGCCCAGGAAGGCTTATTCACATGGCACTGGGCTCAATATGGCTGGCACAGATACTTTTTATCATATACTAAAGTATTTCCCTCGAAGTATGATTTTAAAAAGCCTTGACAAAGATTTGACAGAATTTTATCAAGTATAAACATCCTCTGTGGATGAGAAATTCATGTTTCGTGCAGGAGTGTCTTGAATGGTTTGGATTGGTTCATCTTGTGTGGGTCTGGAGAAAAGTTTGTAAGGGGAGGTTTTTGGATTTATTTGCAAATAGAAACTATTCCAAAGAAGGCTTGCTTGTGCAAGCCTCTATGAGGCCCTACTATTATGCAGGATCTATCTGATTGGAAAGAAAGTTCTCTGAATTTCTTGAATATCCAGTACAATTTTTTTCCAGAGCACACAAGATGAACCAATCCAAACCATTCAAGACACTCCTGCACGAAACATGAATTTCTCATCCACAGAGGATGTTTATACTTGATAAAATTCTGTCAAATCTTTGTCAAGGCTTTTTAAAATCATACTTCGAGGGAAATACTTTAGTATATGATAAAAAGTATCTGTGCCAGCCATATTGAGCCCAGTGCCATGTGAATAAGCCTTCCTGGGCTCACCCAATTGACGTGGCTATTGACTCTCCTTCCCTGCGACGGCCGGGTCACGACACGTCAAGATCGACTGACCCGGTGCTTATTAAGGGAAGGGAGGACTCATGAAAAACAAGTCCAGACAGATAAGAGACGCATTCGATGCCAACGTGGTACAAATTTTCCAATACCTCAATGCTCTCATCTAATAAAAGCTGCAAATACTAGAGCCAGAGTAGAATGTGCTGATATTCTCAGAACTCACAATGGTCACTTTACTGAGTAATAAATATCTTGGAAATACTGCTTCTTTGGCTGTTAGGAGCACAAAATAGTTTCCAAAACTCTTAGAGGTATTCATTTTGAAATAACCATTTTCCTGTCATTAGAATGCATTGCATATGAATGACACAAAAATCAATACATGTTCACAATCTAAGAAGGATTCAGGATTTGCAATTGCACACTACTTGAAAGATATTATCNAACGTTGGCGTGAAGTGATAGAGGCCGATGGTGATTACATTCATGATTGAGATAATTTTGCTTTTAAATAAACTGGGTTGTAATAATTGTTCATGAAATTCCGAGAACTTTCTTTCCAATCAGATATGTTGTGATAGCAGGAATACATTAATGAATGAATGTGGTCCTGTTTGTTTATTGAGAAATATGGTTTATACACATTCATTAACAGTTGTTTCCCCACAAGAGACTCAACCTTTTATGCTTTGATTTGTATATCATTCTGCCCCAGCAACTCAATTGTATTTTCCATCAATTTTAAACTTCTACATTTTAATACTCAAAGTAATTTTCTGCACAAACAAAAAGTTTAATTGGAGTAAAGCTGATAATACTCAGTCAAGGGAATCAGTAAACATCAAAACGATTTCCTCAAAATTTATTCAGGTTTTCCATTGACCCAAGTCTTAGAATGAGGCAGGACGACAATGCACTTGGGGATGATTAGGCCAATTTCTTTTGAACAAGTGCTCATTGGCTTGCTTTGGCATCATCAATTTGGATATAAGTCACTGGAATTTTTTTTTGCTATACTTTCAGTACTGTGGAGTTGAAGAAACCTGATTGTAAAGTTGAGACTACTTTGTGTTGATCCATTGTGCTATAATTTTTGCAGCATGGAGACATGGATCAGAAGGAGCGTGATGTGATCATGCGAGAATTCCGATCAGGCTCAAGTAGAGTCTTGATCACAACAGACCTCCTGGCACGTGGCATTGACGTCCAGCAGGTCTCCCTTGTTATTAACTATGACCTTCCCTCAAACAGGGAAAACTACATCCACCGGTTCGTATTTCCTTTCTTCAGAGATCCATTGTTTTATTAAGGAAAAGGATAACATTCCACCTGGTAGTGTGACTGCTTGTTCTGATGTGATTTCTATAGGTGTTATATTTGCCAGGTTTTTCAACGATTGTGGTATAGGTCCCCTTAGTGGCATTTCAGGGTAATGTTTTTGCTTAGGAAAAATGTATATAACATCTCATGTGCTCAAAACTTGCATATCTGAAAATGGATGCAGCCTTGTTTGAAATATTCAGTATGCTAGCAGTCCTGTGCTGCTTTTCTACTAACTACTTCTAGTAAAAACTGCCCCAACAAGTTTTGGTTCAGGAGTAAGCTGAACAATTTCTTTATCTTTTCACCTGAATCCATCACTTGTAAACTGATATGCAATGAAAGTTACATGCAAAACTCTCTTAACAGAAACTTTACATATTGGAATCCCCCATTTCCCATGTACTAATTTAGAAATGAATTATTTTATATTTGAACAAATTTTAGATTTTGTATGTACACAAATTACTTTAACTTGGATAAATTTTCAGATAAACATTCCATCAGTAGTGCAGTCATCATCTGGCATTTGGAAAATTCAAGTTAAAATTATTTTCCACTTGGCTTATGGAAAAATTTGTATGAATTTGCCTGCCTCATGTCTATATGTGCCACATGCAACAATGATTTTATTATGGCATTTCATTTGATACACTGTTTCTTGATTACATTGATTGAAGGTGATTGGTGGGCTGCTTTGGCTTTCTACTTGGGGCTAAACATTGGCTAAACAATCTTTTGTGTCCTTTTTCCAGAATTGGTCGAGGTGGGCGATTTGGCCGCAAAGGTGTGGCCATCAACTTTGTGACAGAGGACGACAAGAGGACTCTGAAGGACATTGAACAGTTCTACAATACGCAAATTGATGAAATGCCCATGAATGTGGCAGACCTCATCTAGGGTTTCCCATTGCACATCGGTATCGGTTCGGAGGTTGTCTCGGGTCTCCAATCATCGCTGCTTTTGTCTTGGAAAAAGTCTCATTGCTCCCCTGCGAAGTTCATAACCCAATGCGCATGTGACGACGCTGTTCAAGGAAGTGAAGTTTTTCTCTCTACCCCAAGTGTGAAGAAGAGAAAGCGACGCTGCTGCTGCTGTTGCTGCTGCTGCTCTGTCTCTTGTGGAAACTGTTGAGAGGAGGCAGGTGTTTATTTATTGTGCGAATTGAGAGAAGTATTTTCGTCTGTCTTGCTTCTGCATATAGTTAGGTAGTCCATAAAAAAAGCACGAAAAAAAGAAAGCAAAGAAAACTTATCTTTTCTAAGCTTATTAAAAACCATTGTGGTTACTTGTGTAGGAGCAAATTCTGATGTAAAAATCTGCTGATTTTCCTCTTTGGAGAAGCTTGGGGAGATACTGTCTCCTTGTCTTCCTCTCCTGTTCCCTCACTTCTCTTCTTCCTCTTTTTCTTTATCCATATCATTGTGTTGGAAGTCCAGGAGAAGCGCGGTCGGTATCCGGAGGAGCACCCGCAGCCGCAGGGGTGCGGGTGCACTGCGGCCGCAGCCATGCTGCTGCATCGGCGTCGGGGCCGCTTGGCTGTGGGACTCGGGCTTGGCCATGGGTTCTACAATCGCAAGCGCCGACGACGACGACCTATGTACATAGCTTAGGCACCATGTTGCAATTGTTATTTGCCCCCTTATAATGAAATTTGAAATCTTTCTCATTTTCTGCTTGCATGATGAGTGCCTGTCTGAACTACAACTGTCCAGTGCTGTCTATCAATAAAGAATACGATTTGTGACATAATGAAGGGATGTGATTTTATGGGAGATGGAGTTGCTTCTAAGAGATGAATGTGAGGAGTGACACCCAAGAGACTGTCAAGAAGCTGTCTCGCTGAGAGCATTTGGGTAATCATTTGTTCTTTGCTGGCATTTCTTTTGTTTTGTTGTCCAAGGACTTACTTTTGTGCCTGCTGGTGTAACCCCTCATACTTCATGGTAGAACTCCAGAAAGCCTGTCAGAATTCCATTTGTTATTGATTGGTTGCATATGAAGTTCATGTCAGGGTATTAATGTAAAAAGCAATTTTCCTAGGTGAACTGCATAGACAATGGAGAAAAGGACTCCCCAAATAGTAATGTATATGATCCACAAACTCCAAAAGGATGAAGACAGGAAAGGGACTTCTCATATCCCCTTGAAAAAAAGCAAAATGTGCTTCAATGCATGTATGTGACTGCTAAAGTAGCAGTATTGACATTTCCATTTGAGGAATGAGTTTAAAGTATGCCATTCTCCAATTGCTCTTGAAGATGGGCAAGTTGACATGGGCTGGAAACTTGGATCAAGCAGTTTGATAAAATTGAAATTTCAATTCAGGAAAGTTAAAAAAGACTGATGAAACTTTGAGTGATCTGTAAGAAGTCGGGTGGATTGGAGAGCCTCTGACCTGAACCTATTTAATTCCTAATAATGGGTTCAGATTTGAATAAATGTTAAGTTCCTTGTCCCTAGACAATTGTATAATGGCCAAGTCAATCTAATGGAAATTTATCTCTATCGTCCTCTGCTTCATATATTTGCAAAGCAAATAATTAACCCAGAAGAGCCTGGTGAATACCAGCTCTCATGCTGTTGAAAATGAAAACTATCAAGGAAACTTAGGCAGTGCATTACCCTGGGTATTTTGTAGGGGACTGACTGCTTCATTTGGAGTATGATGTAAGAACTTAAGACATCCAGGAGAATAGTGCCTTTATAAGATGTGTAGCATTCCTTTTTATTTATTTATTAAAATGACGGGACGTGTGATGGACGTACATGACAGAGGAAGGGGGTGCCCAGGTGCACAAGCACCACAGCTCAATCACAGTCCCTTAGGCTGGGACACACCTCTACAATCCTGTAAGAGTCTTTTGGGGCAGCTCATGGGTTGCCTATGTCCATGATTGGTAAGAGTGGTCATTTTTAAGGTGTACTACACCCATATATCCTAGACGTGGCACACAGAGTGGTGTGCGTGTTATCCCACGCTAAGCAGACACTACCCATTAAAGCAGATGGGTGACCCATTGGCAGAGAAGCCTGTCACCACACAGACTCAAACCCTCGCCTCTCGGGTTTCACTCGGAAGCCAAAACCACTTGGCTACTGAACCCCAGTCTTATGTCACATTCCTACTTTTAACCCTTTTGGTATTACAGCTGTACCAATACCAGGTGTGCATGCTCTCTTCTCTTTCTGCGTTGGCTCCTGCTTTGCAATTGCCACACTCTAAAGTATTATTAAGGTAGGTACAACTTTTAACTACTCTTACATGCAAGTACTGCATGTTGCAAGCTCAAACTAAGTTTTAAGCTATAGACACCTCCAAAAGAAACCTGCCAGCAGGCATAACAGCATGCAAATAACTCAGTACTGAAAGGGTTAAAGTAGCACTTGGGTGAATTTTTGGAGTGATGTTCCATGGAGGAAGAAATATATGGACCTGAGTATATTATGGGAGGTTATGTTGAAGAGTGGCAGAAAATTCTCTGCATGAGTATTTTGACAATTTTTATTTCATTGTGCCATATTATATCAAGTTGGTAACTTTGAACAGACACCTTTCATAATTGTCCCTGCTCACAAATTGAGTGGATGAAGACCAACCTGCTGTCATGTTTTACATTTCTCTGCATTCTATTAAACTCAAGACCATCATCTATGATGAACACTTTTGTAGAGGAATGAGACTGCTACTTGCTCCTTCTAGGAATCCTAATGTATTTCCATCACCATTCTGTGCATTATTTTCCTGAGAAACTTCATCGGCTGCACTTCTACATATCATTTGTGCTTTTTGTTGATAATATCATGAATTAATTTTGAAGAGCATGCTCCACAGGACTTAGCCCTTGTACTCTTTACAGTGTTTTTCACTTGACTCAGATGCACATGCATGAGTGTCAAAGTCAAGTGAAAAAGTGTCTAACTGAAGTGAAAAGCACTGCAATGCTATTACTCCTGACATTCTTTTCTTGGCTCTCTACAAAAGAGCTTCTCTTATGAGATTATCTGGAGGCAGTGATCTCATGCCATGCAGTTTGACCATTGGAATGTTTCAATTGGTTCTCCTTGGAATCCTTTGCTTGAGGCTCTGGACCTAGTGAACCTAGATCGAACCCAAAGAAATGGATGTCTTGCGGCCTGAGTTGCTCTGGGTGAATGGGAGGTGTTACCGGAAGAACCCAGAGCTATCCACAGACACGTCAATGGGACCTGTCGATGAGGCACCTTTCATCCCTGTCCCTGGTTTGCTGCTTCTATTTCTCATCATGTACAAAATTGTGCAGCACATCGAATAAAGGAAGCTAGATGTGCTTTTGTTTGGTCATTTTTCCAAATTTCCATTTTTTGGTATTTGCAAAACAGCTCTCACATCTATGCAGAAACCTGTCATGTCCTTTCTAGGGCTATTGCATTCTAAGTCTGGTACATCAGTACTGGCCTATCCTTGGCAAATGTTGAAAGGTCTTGCCTATCCTGCCCAAACCATAAAAATTGACATGTAGCCCCAAGTTTCCCTAAGAATAAAACTCTACCAGAGTAAATATGCATGGGGAAGGGATCTTATTTCACCATGATGCCATAATAGTTTGTATTTTGTTGGAGGAATGTATAAAAACTCATTGAAAACAAAGGAAAATGTGAGCATGTTGAAAAATGTAAGCTTTGGAGAGCAAAGCTTTGGGCTAGGATTGTTGTAAAGAATTCACTGCATGGACAAACTTGCCTTTTGAGGATAACAAAATTGACAATCTTGGTAAATTTTAGGGAGTAGAATAGAACAAATTCCTTCAACCTAATGGATTTGGGTTTTGATTTTAAAGCATTCCTCCTTTATGACAAAAGCCACATTGGATCTGTACTGTTTATAAGTCACTGATTTGGGTTAGTAAGGAAAGTTTAATCCATTGGGCAATATGGCCATGCATTCCTGGTCCTGCAGGAGTGTGGCTGTAACAGTACATTCTGCATCTTTGAATCCAAATTGCCACATTTGTACAGATGCTGTCAGTTTGAGCTTAAATTTGGAGGTTCCTGAATTTGTCTTGCTTTACTCAGTACTGCCATCTTCAAGCTAGTACAGAAAGCAACAGAGAAAAAATTAAATACTAACTTTAGTGTGGTTCATAAGAGAGGGTTTTCAGTGTGACTCTCTTGCTGACAGATGCCCATTCCATTTTGCAAATTAAGCAGATGGAGGTGTGCACTTGATTTTCAATGATAAATCTGGAAAGCCCTGGAATTGGCGATAATTGATAACATCTCACATGTGAGGTGTTGGTGGACAAGAAGCAGTTCGTACCAAGAGGCATTACATGACAAACACCCTCATGGGAAATGAGAAGGAAGAGGGAATTAAATCAGTTACTTCATCTGTATTTCACCTCTTTTACATTTTATCAATTCTGTCTCAAAACGTTTCTTCGATTTTGTGTTATTTCTTAGGGGGCAGGGAGGCAGTTTCTTCTGCATAGACGTTCTGATGGTTACAGCAATTTCCTACTGTAGAGAAGTGAAAATCATTATACATATGGAATTCAATGTATAGAATAAAACTTACATTTTAGGAATATAATTTAATAACAAGATTATTTACTTTCATTTGATGTAATAAGATGCCGCTTCACACATTGCAGGAAAGAATCTGGTTGGTTAAAAGCTACTTTGGTTTACTTTTTTTTCCATCTATTTCTCATGTCTAAATAGTCAAAAAAAATTTTAATATATAAATTATTATCACATTATATTTCTAACATTTCATTATTGTTTTTATAAAAATGATACCACACCCTGAAGCACTATTGATTACCCAAGATTACTAATGTTGAATTAAAGTTATTTCAACGTGCTTCCAAGGTAAAAACTGTTTATTTTCATAAAAGTAAAAAATTCTGAGCTGGAGCCTATCTGCAAAAAAACTCACCCCTAGGGGCATGGCCAGTCAGAAAAAAACTCATTGCTAAAAGGAAACTGATTTCACCCAAAGGGACATTTTTCCTGCTGGCCTTGTGATTTTTATTCCTAAACTATGTACAACTAGCATCTGTCAGAATCTATAAAAACAACACACAAGCAACTCTGTGGTATTGTTGCTAACTTCAGCATTTATCACTTTCTTCAAGTCCATGTTGTTTTACAGTTTTCTTCTATGTAGTGTTCTTAAACATTCCTCAAAGGATGGTGTCTGAGGGAATCAGTTCGAGTGACCTTGAGGGCCATGTAGATCTATCCATTGCCCTGGAAATTCAGCATTCAGGAACTAATGTTCTCATCCATCACAATGTGGTAGGGCACAGTGTACTTGAAAGAGCTTGTCATGTCTGCCTTTTGCAGTTTTGCATTTGAGAATCTCAGGAATTGAAACCATGTGAACTACGGGGAAAAAGACACTCTTTTCAATGTTGTAATAGGTTTCTTTGTGAGCTCCAAATAAACGTAGGTATAATGGTAACAAACTTATGAACCAAACCCTGTGTGTTAAATTAGGTCAATAATGTTATGTACTATTTTATTATTTATTTTCAGATGAGAGTGGATATGAGGAAGAAGATTTTGATGTCACAGAGAGAAGGAACGGGGAGTTCTGCGCCAGGCTGCCTGTCCCACCTGACTTCTACAGCTACATCATTGGGACCAAGGGCACAACGCGGAAGCGCCTCGAGACTGAGACCCATGCACACATAAAGGTCCCCAGGGCCGGTCAAGGAGCAGACATTGGTACCTGATGCTTGGTTGTTTTTGCAATGTCTTAACTTGCAAATGAAAGAATCTTTTGAAAAAACCTGGAAAGTTCCTCTGTTTATCGTATAGTAAAGGAAAAGCCTATGAAAGGAAAATTGCAGCAGGAAAGTGAAGGTAATTGGACAAATGTATATGAAGTAGTATAAGTATTTTTTGCATGAAAATTTAAAATTGGGTTGGGAGAATAACATGGAGAAGAACATCCCAAAAGGAGGAGAGAAAATAAAAGTGTAATACATTGAGAATCCTGTGCATGTTACTTTGAGTGTTGTAAAACATCAGGAAAAAGTAGATTTTCTCTTGCCCCAGATAATTAAAAGGTGCACCTGCGCTTGAAACTTGAAGCATTAGGCTGTCTGCCCTCAAATATGCATTGGTAGCCTGAAAATGATCAGAACTGTGTTGCTTTAATTTTGCAGAGGTGATAGGGAGCAATAGAAGCTCAGTGCTGTCGGCGTGTCGGCGGGTGATGATGCTGTCTGACACGATGCGGCAGAGGACTCAATTCACTCACTTCCTCTCCTTTCCTATTAACTCTGAGCCTGTGAAGAAGGCATTCCTCCAATTCAAGGTCAGTCCTCCTGCCTCTTATTCCCTTCACTCAGGTGATGATGCCATTTGGCAGTTTTTCCAATGAGAAATCATGTCAAAAATGAACTTTGATGATATTCAGGTAAGTCTGAAGGCAGGTTACGAAGAATGGGAGGTTCTGGAAGTCAACAGGCATTATTTTCTTTTGATGAAGCTGATTCCATTTTCTCTTCCTCCTGTCATGAAAAATCTTGGATCTTCAAGTGTTGGAATGATGAATAGGTTCTTGGCTATAATATCTGAGCTATGCAATCCCTCATTATGCGATTTACAGATGAATCATTACAATTTGAGGCTGAAAATGGCCTGTTCTTGCCCATCTTGAAATTCAATTAAATTTAGCTTGCAGTCATATTATGATGATAATAGGTTACAGGCAAACATTAGTCTCTATCAAAGGCAGAGGCTGGGATACAGATATTTGAAATTTTGTAACTGAGGCAAAAAGTACCCACATATGCTAACTTCCTTGCTCTTTCTCTTTTTATGAGTTGGTTGGCAAATTATGGCTAAAAATAAGGGGGACAAAGATGTACTAACAGATTTAAGGAAATTTTTAGTATAGTAAATTTTTTCATGAAAGAGTTTCAAATTAATTTTAAAATGTCCATTCTGCTAATGCTTTGTGGGAATTGGGACACCATATCGAAATTTGTTGCTGGAGAGGGGAGGGGAGAGAGTCCAGGGAACGTTTGTTATTAACCTTTACACACCTAATATTTCCACAAACAGCTGGAATCTTCCTTTTATACCAGGTCTGTCAATGAGTTCACAGCCTCACCCACAAACAAAGCATGCACAGATTTTATTCTACTATCAATATTTAATATCGTGAAAATCATGTTCAATGACATGCTGCAAAAGATCATGAAACATTCCTATGCCAGATATGTAAAAAGATTCTTCTTAAGCCAACCCCTCAAGATCTTATAATGTTGAGAGCTTATCACAATCATCATTCTTGGTTGAACATATGAAGCTGTCATTCTTGCAAAGGAAACAATGGGTCTCTTTTCTAATGACCTTATAGTCTCCATGCTGGGCATTGTCTTGTTTTCAATGTGAATGGGTGACTGTTTATTGAGCAGGTGTGTTCTAAGTTTTGAAGTGGTAGGCTGAATCGGGGAAGTAAAACAAATGGTGCAGGTGAGATAGCCAAAAAAATTTTTAGAAATGAGAAATGTAGTAAAACTGACTCATATAGTACAATCCAACATGCATTTTATTTACTATAATGCAAAACATGTGCTGTGACAGTTCTACGCTGCTGGCTGTACTTAAAGCACCCCTGTCCTTGCATATTACCTGCCAGCAATTGGTGATTTGAGAATAAGCTTCATCTCTTGAAGTTTAGTAAGGATGTGGGGTTGAAATTTGCATTCATCTTGGAAAAGGTGTCACAGAGTCTGCATTTTCAAAGTTCCATAAGCCCTCTTCAATAGCTGACAGTAACAGGTAAAAAATAAAAAAAATCCACCCTTGAAAGATCCAATTGGGAAATGATGCTCTGGGAGGCTCTCAGCACTGGATGAAAATATTGTGACTTATTGTGCACTGCTGAAACATCAGGTAGTTGCTATATGATATGATAGCCAATGGTCTTCCCCTAGGTGTGCCATGAGAAGTTGTAATATTTTCATCTGACATTGAGTGCATTATTCTTCAACTGGATCTTTCATCTGTGCGAAATTTTCCAATCTGCCCCCTGCATCTTCAGAATAGCTCTTACACCATGTGGAAATGGGTGATTCTCTGACCCATTTTTTTTTTTAGATGAATGCAATTTCAATCACTTATTGCTGAGTTTTGAGTCCTTTTTTTGTGTCCTCTAGTTTTTTTAAATTATTATTCCATCTGTTGGTTACAAAGTTCTGAATATAGCCTGGAGTACAGTGCTCAAAAATGGCACAAAGAACACAGATTGGCTACTAAGCACACTTAGTAGCACTCTAACACCTTCAATGGTTCAGCCACACCACACTGTCCATGAATTTTTTTATATCTCCATATTGCAAAACTGTGTAATCATTTTCTGGCTAGTATCTGAATGCCATTGCAGTCCTCTGCATCAGAAGCTTTTTCTCACAATGTGACCAGGATGAGGTCATGGAGGAGTGCAAAGGAGCACGGGGCCTTGATGCCTCTCTATTCCAGAACCCAGGAAAGCTGCACCTAACTATCGGGACACTGGTCCTCCTTGACGAGCGAGAGCGGAGCATCGCAGCTGAGGCCCTCCAGGCTGCTATGTCATCTGTTATTCGGTCTCTTTGCTTTTCTGCTCTCTCTTTATATGTGGTTTTGGAACCCAAGACAATCACAGCCATGAATGTTGGAGATGACACTTCCCTACAACTGTGAATAAGTAATGATCTTTGAAACTGTGATAAATCAAGTCCTCAAAGAATTGAAGAAATTATCATAGAACTATCCTTTGATGCTTGTGACAAGTTCCTTAATTTTCATTTGGTAGGGTTTGAACTGCCTCAGTAACAAGTTAACTTGAGGCATCAGTGTTCTACCAACAATATGCATCAGGATGACAATAAGCATCTGTCTGGCATCACTTGCAAACCACAAATGACAAGTGGAAGTTGATCATTTCAAGAAGTTTCACCAAGAGATGATATTTTATGACAATAGGAAACCATGCACATAGAATGAGTAAATATTAAAACAATTTTGTCTCTATTTTGCTATTCATGTTGCTGATACTAGACCCCTGCTGGAGGGCAAAGGCTTGGAGATCCAAGTCAAAGGTCTCGAGTACCTGAATGATGATCCAGGGGAGGTGGATGTCCTTTATGCAAAGGTTGAACCGGTCTCCCATGATTCCAACGTCCTTCAGGACCTCGCTGACTCCCTTGTTGCTCATTTCCTCCATTCTGGTATACTTCCGTCTATGTGTCCACATCTCTTTCTGATAACTTTTTTTGAGTGACTTTTTTTTTTACTAAATGAAGTAAAGGACCCTTCAGCTCAAGTCAATTTTTCCCAAAGACCAGCATGGAAATTTCAGAAATCTTCTGACAGCTTATCAGGAGGTTTTGTTGGTTTTTTTTTTTAATTCATGAGCCCATTTCCAAGTGGAAGTACTTGGATGCTGAAGAAAATCAAAACTTTTCAAGGACCTTTGGGGGGGAAAAGTGACATTCATCTTTATTCAAACAATGGAGGAAAATGGCAAATTTTTTTATCTCTCTGAATGCACTCTTTCCATGTTTTTTGTTGACATATTCTTAAATTTCTTATCAAAAACTCTGGATCCTCTTCAGCACTCTGTGTCTCCTGGTAATAGTGAAAAGTAAATTAGAGCATGCTACTATTGATTCATAGAATTCCAGTGCACTGATGAGAATACATTTTCTTTAACTCTACAGCGGGTTCGTTTCTGTCCAGGTTGAGTCATGCTCTTCCGCAGAATCCCATAGTGCAAGATACATATACAGTACTAAAATATAGAGCTAAAATATGGCACGAGGGAATTGGTGAAGTTGCAATCCCAACAATCGTGATTAGGTTGATCATTCCAGATTCTGCATTTGCCTCCATCAATTATCGGTCTGATTTGGGGGAGATTGGGATTGGGCTTCCAAAACAGGCTATCTGGCATGCCTACAGCCCGTTCAGTTTCAACCTATATCCTTAATAACGGCAGGGAGCACGTAACTAGTCTCATGGAAGGATGACAAGTTGTCATAGATTGCAGTTGAAACTACCAAATGCACGAACAGGCATTTCCAGGCTGCATATTTCCTCATGCAAAATAAGGAATGCTTGTAGTAAATATTTGAGGCCAAGGGAGAAACTCTATGAATTTCTGAGTCTTGTTGGTGGCCATCCAAGTTGAGTGCTGTGCTCCTAAAACAATTTGCATATCCAAATAGTACATGCTAAAATGATTGTTGATAGGTGAGTTGAGCTTCGGGAGCTCAATGAACCTGTCCTGTGGCTTGGGCAATGCAGTATGTCTGGATGTTCCCCTTCCCCCACTCAGCAAGCTGCCTATTTTCTGCCCATGCCTTGGATTGGCTGTCATATTAAACATTTTGAATTACTGTCAACTCAATATACTGTCACTGTTTGTTTGTCTTAGCCAATTTTGCCCCTGTATTGAGGGTGGCACTATATCAAAAAGCGTGGCTTTAAAACGGAAAATTTCCTAAGTAACTCATATGTGAAATAGAATTAGAAAAAAAAATCCACCTTAATTCATCCATGTTGCCAATGGAGAACAAAAACTACGCAGCTTTGAAAAATGATTCACAATTTTTTACTGACTTTTGGCTGCATGCGCCTCCTTGTAACGACACACTTCCGCTTTTTTCCTCACACTTAAAACTGTGCTTTTCCTCATTACTGGATTATGAACACACTTGAACAATCGTCTGGAGGAACTTTGAACTAAAAGAGGCGTTTCCATTCTCCAAAACAAAGAAAAGGAGAGGCAGGATTAGGTTAGATTAAGAGACTCCTAATGCCCCCCCCCCCCTAATCCCTGGCGTCCGTGCCAAAGCTGTGAGGGATGACACATCCCTCACAATCTCGTTATCAAATGATCAAAAGGAAAGGCTGACAGCATGTCCTCTTTTTCCCACCACAAGTGCATGGTATAATCATTGTAGCTGGTATGGTATACTGCTTGGCACTATATCGAGTACAACTTACGTTGAATAAGGCACGTTTTTGCAAGGTATTGGCGGATGGCAGCTTGCAAGGGTGGCGCTATAACGGGGGAGCGCCAATGATAAGCCTATAGGGAAGGTTCGTTCTCAGGCAAGAGTTGGCGCAAAGCAAGAGTGGCGGTATATTGGGTGGTGCTATATCAAGGGTTGACTGTACCATGAACAATATAGGGTATCCCCAAAGTTTGGACTCTGGAAAGAATCATCACTGTTTTCGCTGGAAATATGCTGGATGTTTATGCATGGTTCTGCATACTCACAAAACCAATTACAATAGCATACTAAAGATGAGTCTATCACTGTTAGGTCTGATGCAGAAGCAGCACGACAGGGTGAAGCTGCACATGACGCTGATGAATACGCTCTTCCGCATTGAGGAGGGGGCTGCTGACTCTGGAGTGCCAGGGACTGGTCGGAATCAGAGACCCCGGGTTTCCTTTGATGCCAGGCCCATCTTGCAAGTAGGTTTTGTTTTCAGTTTCTTCTTGGCATGATACACATTTTAAATTCCATGTATATATTATTGATTTTTTTTTGTAAATCATGCTGTAATCCTTTAACTCTGAAAATCTGAACAATATGTCTTCCAAACTCAATCTGTACTTTCAAGCATTGCTCAAGTAAAATTTCATAACCACTAATTTCATGCTCATTCCCTTTTTTTCTCCATGTTATGTAAAGGCCATGAGATCTGAAGTAGGATAGCAGTGGATGAAGTCTGAAAGTTCCTAGTATATTGGTTATTGCAGAGAAATTGAAGGCTTTTCAGAATGCACTAGAAGCATTTCCATACCACTGACAACTTTACTGCTGAATTTAGGTCTGTGACCAGAGGAACTTCTTAAATAGTGACATTGAGATGGTACTATAAACTTAATTTAAAGAGGAATAAATTTTTGGTTTGTCACCTTTTTTTTTAAATTTCTCTCTCTTCATGAAAAATGTATAACTTCTGAATTCACTTCATGGTTGCCCTGTTAAAAAAAAAAGTCTGGAAAATTTGTGGGAAGAACTCACATTTACACACATTGCTGAGAGGAATTTACCCGTTTGACCACTGATCGAACCACTGACTGTTAATCACTGATTCCCATCTCTCATTGATTTTTCAGAGATTCAGAGACAGAGAGCTGGGCAGACACATGATCCAAGAGCTGCATGTCTCTGTGAGGCACTCCACCACCCCAGACGGGTACTACAAAGCCTCAGCCAAGGTCTCCCTCTGACCTCTGCATCCCCCTTTGCCAAAATCTCGCCCTTGCGTCTGCGATGCTCTTCAACAGCGACTGTGATTGCTTGGTGGATCTCGAGATCCACTGTTGTGTGATTGGTGGTAAGATGTAACAGGCTCCCTTATAAGATTGCATCTAGATGTTTGTGTCCCAGTGATTGCCTTAATGAACTTGTCTGTTTTCATTATTGTGGCTGTGAAATGGATGGAAAATGGACATGAAGAAAATCCACCTGATATGAACCAATTGAAGTTTTTTTTTCACACCAAAGATGCCAAGAAAAGCTCTTTACTTGCTAAAGAATGCTGTTTTTTGCTTTATAAATAGAAATACTGTTATTTAAAGATGCAAATTGCATATCTGTGCCATCTCTTCATCTGTGTCAGACTCATCAAACGATTTTGACAAGTTAACAGTCACCTGAAAACATAATCCAGTGATTTTACATGTTTGGGTTGCTCTGGATCATGAACCAACCGGTCGTCTCCTTCAAATGTCACCTAACAGCCTGGGAGAAGGTAACGGTGCCTATACGTAAATACCCAGATTGACCTTTAAAAAAAAAGTTATGTTTACGCGGTGGCTACAGACGGAACACAGAACAACAAATCAGCTTGAATTGCTAACCTAGATATCTGCACTCTTGCTCTGCTAGACTGGGACGTGGGCGAAGTTGCTAGGTGGAAGCACGGAAGTAGCCGGGTGGAAGGATGCTGACATCTCGCGGGGAAAGCTCTCTCACTCGGGTCCCGAGCCACCAGTGTCATTCCGAATATTCATGAAACCACCTAAACCTGTAGAACGTGAAGTTTTCCTGGCGATATCATCCATGGTAATCCATAAATCTTGGCGGATATTCGCATTCAGGCTTCCTTGTCATCTCCCGCCTTTCCTATTTGAATATGAATTGCATTTTTGAGTAAAGAACACCCCCTTCGAAATACGAATATTTAATCGAATTCGGTTTTGAGGCTGATCGCTTTTTCGAGCAAAAAGATGAGACTTCAGAGACGCCAGTTCCGAGAAATCTGCAGAGCGACGAAGCATTTTCCCGCGCATCGTGTCCCGTTCGGCGCAACAACGTGACGTCAGCATCGTCGGTTGAAACAGTACGAAATGGTCGAAGATCAACGAAGAATCCACAGCAACGAAATGCGGACTATTCGTAACTAACCGCATTTTCAGCACATTTTTATTCATGGGCTGGCGAAGTCCTTGAGTAGGAGCAGTGGCGGCTCGTGATATTTAGCGCTAGTGGTTCGTCTATGGAGAGGGGGTAGGGGACGAATCACTAGCGCTAAATATCACGAGCCGCCACTGAGTAGGACTGAGTAGTACTCGGTGAGTCCCCAGTACTTTCCATGCAGTACTCAATCTCTTTCCACGTAAAGATTTGAGGAAGACTTTAGAAATTTCTGAAACACGTCGAAACTTCCGACTTCAACCCAGAAATCTGGAGGCAAGTTTGAGGTATCAGAAACGACTGACAACTTCTGTGCTGTACGGGATTCCGATCATGCGATGGGAGCAGAGACATGGTAAATATACCTAGACTGGACAAGCCAATGGAGAAAGCCAGCCAGCCGCACGCCGATTAGAAGGGTCAGCCGCCATCACTCATGGCGTCAAATCGACCAATAAACGCATAGCTTTCCAATTCATGACGTCACACTACACTGAGTTTTGACGCTTTCCAAGAAGACCGCGTAGGCCTAGGCCTAGGCCTACCTGGTCTTCAGTGACGATGCATGGTATTTTGAAATTTGATTAATGCCACTATTCCAATTCATGACGTCACACTACACTGAGTTTTGACGCTTTCCAAGAAGACCGCGTAGGCCTAGGCCTAGGCCTACCTGGTCTTCAGTGACGATGCATGGTATTTTGAAATTTGATTAATGTCACTTATTCCGTCTTTATTTTCATTGCACTGTTATTATTATCCCGCATAATAGTCAAGGGGTACGTCAATCCGAGTCCCAGATATACTCCGACAAGTCGTCCGATACTTTTAAGGCGGCGTGGATTCCAATCTGTGACGTTTTCCCAGTTATCAATAAAAGCCAGATTCATCATTGTAAGACCTGATACCCAACCCAGTCAGTGGTCTTTCATAGTATACGAATCCTAAACACATTGACTACTGTGCGCCTCAGTGAATCCCATGCCTCATCCTCTCCTTGACGCCATCAGTAATGGCAGCCAGCCCTTCAAATCGGCGTGAAATCTTCGACTGCCATGTCCAGTCTAGGTATATTTACCATGTCTCTGCATGTATGTACAGTGGGCGCATTCAGTTGTGACCCGAGTCATGACTCAAGGGTCTCAGTTCAACGCTTGCATTGAGGCGTCAAAATAAATTTTGCTCCATGGTGACACCTCATGTCAATGTCATCAATCCGGGGTATAATAGTTTTTGAAAAGCACCGCACCTACCGAGAATCATGAACCTTGAGTCATGACCCGGGTCACAACTGAATGCGCCCAGTCAGGGCCGGCCCTAGCTATTTCGGCGCCCTGTGCAAAGAGACTCCCAAAGCACCCCCCTCCCCCAGGAGTCAGGAGAGTTAGTGATATCAAGAGGCGAAAATGTTTGCGGGGAAAAAGATTTTCATGCAATGAAGAGCTGAAAGTTGCCGTTTCTGATTGGTTTGATGGACAAGAAGTTGACTTCTATTCCCAGGGAATAAAATCCTTGGAATCAAAGTGGAATAAATGTGTTGTGTTAATAGGTGACTACATTGAAAAATAAAGTGTTATTTTTCCCCTCGGGTGTTTCTTTCTTATTCAGGTAGATAACTTATTGAGTGACCATCGTATATTCCATTCCTGCTATGACGCGACCAAATCTGGACGAAATCGCGAGTCGGTTCGCACATGAATGATGCAGTAGCCAATACTTGATAAAACATCGATTCCAATCACGTCTCAATTATGCCCCTATAAATGAACAAATCACGCAATCCAATGCAGCTGGTCCGAGGATCGAAGATGCCCGACGCGAGGATTAAAGAGACCCGACGCGAGAATCGAAGATGCCCGAAAGAAGGACCATGCGGATGACACGCGACCTCCACGTGGGCGCTTCCGCCAACGGAGAGGAGTCATCCGCTCGGAGTGGATTGCATTCCATATGGAAATTGCATCTGTTGCTCGAGGGGAAGGCCAGTAATTACGAATCTTGACCGGCGTCCCACTTTTTCCCGGCGACTTTCCTCGCCGCTTTCTCCGTCGTTCGTATTTTTAAGGTCAGACGGGCACGCGATGGCGCGTGAGTCGACTCCGCATCGCCGTTCCACCACGCCCATCGACACCGAAATTCAAATTCCTCGGACGTTCGCATGGGAAAAAAGGTTGGAAGTTTAGTGTTTTTCTCCCGTTTTCATCCTTTCCCGCGGATTCCACGAAGCGCGACGGGTCTGATCTCACGCCGATGGAGTCCGTTCACCTTGCAACACCGTCATCATCTTTCTTCCTGGTTCTTTTCAGACTTGAAAGGAGCCGTTCCCTTCATAATGGAATCTCTCGTATGAAACGGACACGATTCGATATTCGCATTCCTTTCCACCACCGCAGGAAATGATGGAAAGTGACATTTGGCAAGGAGTGAACTCAAATAATGAGTACGTGATTAGATAATTTTCGAAATGAATTTTGGGAAACTCGGGTGAAACAAGTCATTTTTTTAAATTTAAAGTTCATAATATGCACTTTCATCCGACAGAAAGAGGTCGCGGATGGTGTCGATCGGGTTTGTCGGTCGATGCACACGTCCCCCCTCGGTCTGAAATCGTCCTTTCTCTTGTAACCGCGGTTACACGAACCGTGACCGTCGGTCCGTCGCCTACACCCGACCCGTTTTCGTGACCGGAGGAATATCTGTCCCCGGTTCGGAGTGTCATTAACCGGGAAAAGTGTCGATCGGGGATGACTCGACTCGTTTTTTTTCTCAGTCGCCGACCCCGCGATCCCCGCCCGCGGGGATTCCTTCCTTTCAATCCATAATTAACTAATTTTCCTTCCCTCGTTCCGAAGTCGCACAAAAGGGAGCCTTTTCTTCCTCTGCTCGGCCTAGAACTAGTACCTGCCTGACCCAGTACCTGCCCAATACCTGAGAAAATCCTCTTTCGATCTGTTCCGGCCATGCTGATCCGAGTAAAAGTTTAATTTATTGACATTTAACGGCGTTTATGATTGAGATAACGATTACTGGCAAACCGGAATGGACACGACAGGGCAACAAAAGTTTTTGAAAACAAAATCTTTATCTCATGCACTAGGGTCATCCGTCCCGTCTCGTCTCGTCTCGTCTCCCCCCCCCCCCCCCCCCCCCCCCCCCCCCCCCCCNCGCCCCCCCCCCCCCCCCCCCCCCCTCGATCGAGCAATGACGTCACCTCGCAGTTTTATCTTGGTCAATTCGTGTCGGAGTAGCCGGAGCTTGCCTTCTCTTTCCGTGGTTTTTTGGCCGCACATATTGCTTGCGTGTTCCACTTTCATTGTCCGATGATACTGCAAAAACCGCTCCGTGAAAATCGCTATAGATATGGGCGAAGATGCAGGCCAAGTTTCTTTTTCGACAACCTTCGCGCCAGTAACGGATCTTTCTCCGAAAATTTCTACGTTTAGTTTGAAAACGGCGAGAGACTTCCTCGACGTGGACGGAGCACGCATGCGTCTTTCTCCACCTGCGTCGGGACTGCGCATGCGCTGCTCTCGGCCTGAGTTGAGATATCACGCGACGGACTAGAGCCGTCAGTGTTCATCGAACCTTCACATGACGCAGATGTCAGAGAAACGCGCTAAGCGTCCTCGCCCGTGCACCTCCTTCGCCGCATCCTCCCTCTTCACTCCACTAATTCGAATTTCAGCCGTGGATGGCGTTTCCGCCTCGTCAGGTTTCTTTCGTCGCGCTTCCTTCCGCTTTTCTTCAACTTCGACCGCATTCTTCACGGGATCGCCGGCCCCAAAAATGCAGAGAATCAAGAGATTAATCGAGGGCTCCCTTCGACACGGCTCGGCGGGGGTGAAAATTCGCTTCCGAAAGTGCTCGAAGCGAGCCGAATCGTCTTCTAAAGGAATCTTAATTGCCTCCAGCACAAAAAAAGTCCCTTCGCGGCCATTTTACGACCTGACCGACCGGTTATTGCCGACATTGAAGGAAAAACTTACTTCCTCCCAACGTGATCTGACTGAAATGCCAGAATCGCTCGAAACGATATTAAATTTCGAATAAACGCACTCGAAGAAGCGATGCTCCCGGGACTGTGACGTCACCGCTCATGTCGACGTTGGACGTCGTGTTGCAGTTTTTTCGCGCGTTTGGGAATGAGTTCATGAGAGCGGACTCGGGCAGTAGAATTTTCGGCCGGATGTTGCAGGGACGTAGGATGTTCGGAAACGAATTATTTTTCCCCCTCGTCGTGCCTTTCTTTTTTCGTGTTGGTGTTGCCTAATAACGGCCGGACAAGGGACTCCACCAGGGGCGCCATCAAGAGAACAGCCTCCCCCGGCCCCCCCGCCGATGCAAAAGTTCTTTTACGAGCAGAACGCGAGGAATGCGGGGGAGCATTCTCGGTCCGAACGCGGGCGGCCTCTGCGGTTGCGTGTACGAGGGAGGAAGGGGATCTTCGATTCTCCGAGGTGGAAAGGCATCGACTCTCCGGGGAGGAAGGGCGTCTTCGACCCTCCAAGGGAAGAGACAGGTCTTTCGCCCTACGTTGCGTCCAATTTAAGCAGCAAAGTCTCTGCTACAGCCGCCAAACTTTTTTATTTATTGGAGGCATTGAGGTATGCAAATGAATCACTCTTGGATGGCTGGTATCCTAGCGGCGTGACACAATCATGTGACCGCTCCACAGTTAGTACTCTTTATGGCCGTGATACAAGCTGCCAACCGACGCTCCCAGCGGTATTACACCCTTCCTTATCGCACGGCCGTCACGTGATTGCATCGCGCCACCGGGAGGCTAGATATCGGAGAGTGATTCATCATTTGCATGCCTCCATGTCTTCAATAAATGGCCTAAGTTTGGAGGCTGAAGCATCGCTCGTTCTAGGAGTTCCTATTTCATTTGCCGGCAGCGTATATATAGTTTTAATATGTATACTTTAATATTTAATAATGTATTTTCTCAATATTTGAAATATTAATTTCAGGTAAATTACTACCGAACACATTCAGTCGGGAAACATTCCTTCGTTTGCAATTACAGTTAACTTCTTCCTAATCCACTTTAGTTCATCCAAAAATGCACTGGACAGATGTTGCTCGCGTAGCTACACTAGCGCCATCTCTCATTAAGTCAAATCCAAGATGTCAGGAGGAAAAGAAGCAAGGTTGTCAGACGTAACGAGGAGGACAATTTCACATCCGACTTCCCATGCCTGCGGGGGTTGTCAGTTGTCGCTCAGTCCTTCGTTATTATTATTTTTTCCTTTCATTTCCTTCCTGATTCTTTTAAATCGGATTTCCGGTTTCTTTTTGTCGAATTAAAAGCTTAATGAGTTCACGCTCGAATTCCGGCATGCCCAGGAATTCCGTCGGAAACGGACCCGACCGGCGTGAGGATCTGCGGACTGGGAAAATCCAGTCGAGGAATGCGTGCATCTGCGGTTCCTCTGTTGAATATTCAACGGAGGGGGAAAATGACGAGGGGGGGAGTAATTTTTCCTTTTTCTGGTCCATTCTGCAGGTGGCGAGCGGATCCGGAAGAGAGAAAAAGGAAAAAAATTGGATTCGAAAATGCCCCGAGAGATCGTTTTCCTGCCTTTCGGGGGAATCCACGCTGAGAGGAAGGAAAAACCGGCAGGATTCTCACTTTCTCCGTCATCTTGCCCCGCAGCGAACACGAAATGATTGGATCTGCAAGATTTTCCCCCCGAGCTGGCGTAGTCTGCCCTTTGGTCCTTCCCATCATCCAAGCCTGCCCATTGGTCGTCCTCGTCCTCCAAGTCTGCCCGTCGGTCCTTCCCACCCGTCAAGACCGTTTCACACTGCGTTTTTTGCTTGCGACGCGTACGATTTAGAAATGCATGAAGATTTTGTTGCTTGCATGTGTTTCGTACCTGCGCCGATGCATCTATACACGCATTTCAAAGTACTGGGCGAGCTTCCTCGCCTGAAACTTCTTCTCCCTCGTATGCATGCGTGGGGATGTTTCGAATCTCAACTCATCCCGATTCCGCACGCAAGCCTTGCGCTTCGTGAAAATCCTTCGATGTTCGTGGACACGCGTGTGAGCGCGTGCGTCCGACTACCTGCCCAAGTATTCACGCGAATGACGCAAGACACGTGTGAAATGCCCTTAAATCTGCCCTTTGAATCTCTGTCGTCCTCTGAGTCTGCCCTTTGGATCTCCCCGTTCGCTCGATCCCAAACTCTCTTGCTCGAGTTTCTAAACGCTCTCGTCCGCCACCCATCCATACATTCATGAATCATCACAGAGACACTTCCAGAATGATCCCATTTAACCGCGGGGGAGTCTCCTTCAGATCCATAAGAAACTTGGACGCTCTCAGGAAACACCCGAAGCAGCATGAAAATATCCAAATAAACGTGGGCACTCCCAAAGAGGCACGAGGGCACTCCCAAGAAGCACGAGGGCACTCCCAAAAAGGCGCGAGGGCACTCCCAAAAAGGCGCGAGGGCACTCCTATGAAACCCGTGTTGTTCTCGACGATTCCAAAGTCATCGAATTCCTACGGAAGCGGATGATTTAGTCGTTTTCGTGCCGGTTTTGGAATCCCTCGAAAAGAAAAAGTTTCCTCTCGGAATAGGAATTTCTCGCATTGCTTCAAATGCATTCAAGGGATCCGCGTTTTTCTTAATCTTTTCTCACTTATGGTGAGCGTAAGGAGCGTCAAAAGTCCCACCTCAAGGCCTTTCAAAAGCGATCATCACGGGGGCGGGAAAAAAAAACACGTTAGCGTGAGCATGAGATGCCATTGACACGCATTTCCCTCGCGTCCTTGACTGGGTCGGCCTGAGAATGGGATCGATCTCAAAAATGACCTTTTTTTTCTGCCCCTCATCCTTGAGCAGCGCGTCTCAATGACACGAGAAGGGGTGGAAACAGGATCTTCCCGGGAGGGGAACACCGTTACGGATGAAGACGATGATGAAGGCGTGGGGAAGCGCCGATTCGTGAAGATGAGAAAAGAGAGGATGGAGTATTGGAGGATGGGAGGATGGATCCCGGAAGGAATTCAGTCGGGATGCCGGCCCTTTAACTTCCACCCTCGCGCCGTCCCACGCCAGTCGGCTGGGGGATGCCAGCTGGTGCGTAGCGCGGGGAGTGGTGCGCTCCTCCGGCCTCGATTTTCCTGCTTTCAAGCCCTTGTCGGACGGCTTCGGTCGATCGGGGCGGGTGTGTCGGGTTCTCTGCTCCGTCTGTGTCGTCTGTGTCGGTTTTTCTTTTCCGTCTGTGTCGGTTTCGCTGTGTTGACCATCCGTCCGCGGTATTTGTTCGGCCATTAGCTGATATCATAGTCTTAGAACGGCGCTGAGCCCACCGAAGAGTCGTTCGTTTATCGACCGTCGATTTAAACGTTTGCGGAATTCGACACGAGCGAGACAGCTGTATGGGTTACAAGGTCAGGCCGCCGTGTTTCCTGTGCGTGCGTGCGTGCGTGGACAAAGGGAGAGCGGACGGACACGCCCCGAAAGAACACCTGAAACTTCCGCAGAAAAAAAGGCAACGGCCTGCAGATTTCGAGCTGTCAATATTGGGGGTAGATAACGAGGTCCGACCTTTGTCACGCGCGAGCTGCGTCACGTCACTTTCCAGGTCACGCATTCTTCGCGTCTTCGCCGAGTCGCTCGAGCGAGACAGAAGAAAATCCAAAAGTTAGAAAACAAATAAGCATTTAAGAAAACTGAATTAGCTAATTGCGCGAGTTCCTTAATTGCGAATGGAAGACGTCAAGCTCGTCAACTCTCACTTTTTCATTGTTATTTTTAACGCTCCTTTCACTCCTCTCTCCGTGTGACACAGGAAGCATGCGACGTGAGCCACCGTGACCCACCGCGAGCCAGCGCCTCGTGGACCCCGAAGATGATGAAATGGACCCTGACCAAGAAGACCCATCCGGAGGTCACGCTCGAGTGAGTCACAAAGTTCCTGTTTGTCCCTCGGTCGCTGATTCGGCTCTGACCCGGTTTCGCGGTTCTGCTCGAGCCCTGCCCATTCCAGTTCTCTTTTCTTTTTTTAATTAGTTTAGTTACTTTTTTTTCGTGCGCTGTACTTGGGCTTGTGCTTTACTTTTCTTTGCTGAAGTTTGTGATTTTGTCTAGTTCATTTACGGTTTCGCTGTTTCTAGCACTGGTACTGTTACCGATACTTGAATGCACTTAAAAATCGCCTGTTCCGTCGCACTTAGGCACGAGTGGCATCGTGCGTAGGCAAATACGTATGTGGTGCGTGAAGAATCCCCTTTCGTCGTCGTCGTGCGAATGGAGTTGATAATTACCCCCATCATCATCATCGTCTTGGGGGGACGATTAGTGTCATGCGGTTTGGGGTTTTCGGACGTGTTCGCTGACCCCATTCCTGAGTCAGCACTCTCGCGAGAAAACTCTGACGAGGTCGTCGGAGGTCACGTCGATCGATGTCGGGTTGGGGGGGGGGGGGGGGGGGGGGAAATAAAAGCGTGACTGCGTTCGATGAGATCGTGGAAGGAAAACCCTTTCACTTTCGTTGTCTCAGCACTTTCCATCGCCGTGATCACTGTCTTTTTTTGTTTTCATGGGGTCCATCATGAATAGGCGGTGGGGGATCTCTTGACCTTTGCTCGAGTAGTAGAATGTGAATTACCCGACTTGGTGGGAATGCGGTTTAACCCGAGGCTGGAGTGCATCTTGTAGTTCGCTTCCCTCCGCCTCCACAAGGGCATATGCAAATAGTCTTGGGTCTTGCACCTCATGAAGTGGTTTTTGGAATTCACCGGGGTGTGAAATGCTGGGCTCGCATCTGGCCCTCATGCGTCGAATATGCTCGAGGGCGTCGAATATGCTCGAGGGCGTCGAATATGCTCGAGGGCGTCGAATATGCTCGAGGAACATGGCGGCTTCCACGTTGTGAATGTCTTGTGATTGGGTCCTGAGTCCACTGCACTCTTTCTCGAGTCCTTCGAGGGGGGTACCATCGCTCCTTTCCCTTTCTTTGCGCTTCTTTTCATGGAGACCGAGGAAAAGTTCTATTTGTTGTTTTTCGTGGAATGCGGCGAAAGAATGTTGGAACCATTCTGGCGGTTCCCCCTCGTCCATTTGGGTCTTGGATCTGTCCATGTAGAGTTGCTCTATTCGAGGGATTGTACATACGAAAGCGACCAGGCCATCCTGAATATTTTTTTTAATCCTATGAAGGATTTCTTTCAAATGAAGGAGTGAACTGCTAGAAAGCTGAATACTTAGCTAATAGCAGTGAAATGTTTGTAGAAGTGCTGCGCAACACGAGCGAATCACGATTTGGGTCTCTTTCAAAAAATATGCTGACTTCATAGGCGGAGATTGAGAATATCTTTGAGACGGGGCTAACAAGAAAGCTTGCAGGCAGTTCATCTTCCTCCTCTGATTTTTGTCACAGATCGTAAGAATTATATGAAGAATGGCCTTATCGCCATAGATTAATGTCATTCATCCGTTCCGCTCTGAGCAATAATGCGATTCCAGTCGAAGATATATGTTTTTTTTTTTAAATTGAGGCTGCATTCCAAGGCTGCATCCTACACCGACATGAATTTCACGAGGAACCCCAGGTGGAAGAGTGTGACTCATCTTCCACGTATCGGGACGCATTGAAAGGGCAGAGTGATAAAAAAAAAAAACGTTGTGCAAGAGAAAGATATTGTTTGAGAGGCGAGGGCCTCGATGACTATCTCCCTGCTTTTGTCCCCCCTCGCGCAGTGAAAGGTACAATGCTGCATTGCTGCCTCCGTCAATGCGGTCTAACGGATGGGACAAGATGGATTCATCCTCGCGTCCATTCGGGAATGAAAATAAAATAGACACGTCTCCCACCAGCTGCGCCGATCTATCATGATGAATGAAGCATGTTTGGAGTTTGGCTCGTGAATCATGTCGTACTTTTCCCGAGGATAATACGTGCCTGTTGAAACTAAGGAGCTGTAAATATCACATAAAACAATAATAAGCATTTTACACTTTTCCTACGTGAGAAGAAAATGAAAAAAAAAATTGTGCCCAACCCACGAGAAATTATTTTATTCACTCATATACTGTATACTTGAGCAAGTTCTGTCCTGTTGAATTCTATAAAGTTATAATATACCTTTTTAGAGTCCGGTATAATTCTGCACGACCCTCTATCGAGTCTATACATACTAAAGGATATTTGACAGGTGTTCTGAGATATGTACTTATTCATATTTATCGAATTCCGAGGAAACTTTCCCCGTAAGCTCGTATAATTTTTCCGATTGCTCCCGTATCTCGGAGGACTGAAGAGGGAAAAAGCCTTTCACGTCACCGAATCACCACCAATCCTTCCCCGCGTCCTCGAGCAGATGCGCCTGGCAGTAGAGCCGTGGGCGGCCCTTCCTTCGATGGAGGATCGCGCCTCCACGGATGCACCCGGGCCCCATCCACCCCTACAAGGGACGGATGAGGCCCCGATGGCATCTCCTCCCGAATCGACAGCTCCTCATTCTTCTTCGACAGTTGCGAGATCGCAATTGAGATTCTCCCATTCTGATTGCGCATGCCTCCCTATCTCCGTGTCATCTCCATGGCCCGTTACGAGCACGTGCACCGTTACCGTCTCTACTTAACCATCCCACATTATTCGAGCGTATGAAATGCAATTGCACCCATTCGCTTTACCTTCATTTTTGGCTTCCCGAGATGACTAGCCGAAAATATTCATTCTGTTTTAATTAGATTTTTTTTCTTAATTTCAAAGAGCAAATCAACTACTTTCGATATCTGATTTCTCGCTTCATTCTTCAGCGCATTATGGGCAAGGAATGTGTCACTAATCGAACTATTTAATTCAATTTTGCGTATAATTTCATTTTATCTTTTTTCAAATTTATTTAAAAAAATTTAAATACTGTGTAATTCATCGTACTGGATACTCGATATTTTTCTTACAGACATCACATAATATAGTTTGCAATAACCTTTGATCGTCGTAATTGGACCCAAGAGGCCTCCGGAGGGGACCCTCCTATATGGGAAGGGCGGGCATTGTACACAACATATTATTATCTCTCTGAAGGACTCCTCGCGTAGGCTACGGCCCACAACACTTCGTGTTATTATATATTATATCATTCATGGACCGAGAGACGTTTCGGCTTGACGGTATCACCAGCATATGTGTATATTACGTGGTAGGAGTGGGTCGGGATAAAAATAGTAATAATAGTAATTATTAATATTATTGTTATCCTGGGCTTTTCCTCCCCATTCACCGTCCCCCTGATATACTTCGCAGTAATTACGCTGGTACCTCAATCCCACCCAGACAGATCCGGTTGGTTTTTTTGATATTTTTTTATTTATTGATAATCATGAGGTGCGCCAGAATCCGAATGTACTTTCAACTTTCATTTTCTCCTGTTCGCCATCCCAATGGACCTTTCGTTCTTGAATTTCCAGACGATCGAATGCGAAAGAGCCTCTCTAGCCCGAGTCGATCACAATCGCTACAAACGATGGGGCAAATATGCAAGAAATGGCGATAATAGAATGAGGAATCTTGGAAATTGGGGGAAATAAGACACGTCTTTGTATTCAAAGGCCCCGCCGAGTTAACCCAAGACGCGTGCTTACACCAGCATGCTAATTCAGTCGGAACGAGGAATGCAAATGATGACCTCATTCGAAAGAAACGACTCTCTTGCGGAGGGGTAAAAAAAAAAGAAATAAACAAAGCGCAAGGACGACGCCCCCGCGGATTATTTCTCCGCCAACTTTCGCATCAACCCCCTATGTTTGCATGCATCTCAACCCTCTCCCATGGCTCAGAAAAAAAGGAAAAAAAGAAACTGATGACAAGCAGCAAATAGCGGGACGTGTCATCGGACTGCCATCTGGATGGATCCGTGGCGGAACTAATCAACGCGGTGATTCTCAGGATCGTTTCTTGGATCGGCTTAACTGTCGGCGAAATTGGCACCATGAAATCTGAGCACTTTTGTTTTTGCTGTCGCGTTCGCGCAGATTTCGCGGAACTGTCTGCGATTTTGAAATAAATCAGAAATTCAAGCGAACTTGAAAACTTTAAACTAAATTTTTTATCTGCGGCAATTCAATGTCGAAACTTGATTACACGTCGGGGATGGAGGCGAGAGAGATAAATTTGGTAGTCAAGTTTTGGAAGTGAATTTATTGTGCTTTTTATAAAGAATGAGACAAAAGTATGAGGAAGTGAGGAAAGAAAAAAAAGGAAGTCAACGACCGAGACGAGAGAAGAGAACTCAGCATCCCTGCGCACTCAACCATGCACAGAGGGATTAATGGCGGGAGAGGCTTTATGGTGGTCAGGGTCTTCCGTTCCACCTGGGGAATCCACCTGGGGAATCCGCCTTCCCACCGTGGGATGGCGTACTTCATCCAACGTGGTTTTCTTTTCAGACGCAGTTGATTGCATGTTGGGAAGCGTTTTTGCCGTTTTCTGATCTTTTAAGTCGGAGTTCAGGCAAATTTCTTTTGGTATTGATGTTCTCAGTTTTTAGTTACATTTTTTAATTCTACGAATTCTGAGGATATGGTAAATAGCATTTCTGAGGAAGAAATACGAGGGTTGCTATTTGCGAAGAACCCTTTAAAAACGACTCGCGATTCGACACTGCTGGGAAAGTGCAAGGCTTCGGCGCCTCTTGTTTCGAACTCTGGATTTGCCACAAAAAAAAGGCAAAGGAGCACGTCGGCAACGCACACGGCTCATTTATTGCAGACGCAATCCACGAAGAACGGTGCCGCGTCTTCCTCATTGCCGTAGAGATCTCTTAACAGCACTTGGTCGTCAAACGGCACGCCAATTTCAACGGAATGCCATTTGAAGCGACAGACGGTTAATGCCGCCAACAGCCTCGGGAGTCTGTCCTTTCTTTCTTCAAGCACCAAGTTCACAGCTGGGACTAA